GCCGGTTAATCAGCCACCGATAATTATCGACACGGGTAGTATATCACCTCATACCTCCCATCTGGCCCCATCAGAGTCCCCGTCTCTCTTCCATGATTCTCTTGTATATGTATATATATATTTGGACCCCCACTATGTTTCCCCTCTTCACTAAGCCCCCTCCCCTAAATTTAGGTGACCCATCCACCCTTTACCTCCTACCACCCCTTTCCTATACGTATATATATATATACGACTGGCGTGACAAATGCACCGCCGATACCATCATTTATTTCGCAAATGTGCTGCAAAACTGCCGCTATTCATTTTCGTGGCACTCGATTCAGTTTTCCAGGATCGCGCGCGAGAATCTCATATAAACCCAAACCAAAAACCCTTTTGCTCAAAACCCGATATAGTTTTATCGTCGATACAGAAACTGATCGGAAACGCTCAACCGATAATACAGTTTACGCCCAATAGCCCGAACACATTTTTATCATCACTTGGATATAGTATATATATATAGCCCCAATGACTAGAGGCCAATTTCAAGCGATTAAACGCAATTCGAGAATCACGAGGTTCGAGATAAGCATTTTTTTTTTTTTTTTTGCTGGAATTGTGGTTTTTATAATATGAAAAGTTGGAAACTATATTTTTTTTACAAAGTTATTATATTTTTTTAATACAGTCAAACCTGTTTTAATGAGACGTAGCAAAAAAAAGAGGTTTGATTGTATAATAAATAATTATATTTACACAGAAAAGTTAAAAGGAATTAAAATAAGCTGCAAAACGCTTATTATTTTAATACACTAGAGCCTCCGACGGCCTTTGGCCGTTGCTTCTATTCTTTGTCCATTCAATTTAATTTTCAATTTATGTTTCATAATTTATTACAAATTATTTTATTAAATTTTTTAATAATATTGTTAACAAAATGCAAGAAAGGCATGTAATTATAGAGAAAGTTACAAACAGAAAAATAATAATATCTATTATTTGTCTAAAAATAATAATAATAATTGTTGAATAATTTTTTTTAAAACTAAAAACACTTTTTTTATTCAAGGTAATATTATTTTCATAATAATTTAATTTATTACAATTATTTTATTATAATTTAATAAATTTCATTATTTTAAATAAGCGCGCGCTATTTTGTCTCTTGGGCCAATGAAGTGATTTGAACTAAATGTAGGTTATGTTCGTGTCTGATTTATGACAGCTGCAAAAATATTTACAACAAATAAATGCTTTGTAAATGTATATTTATTGCAATTAAGTAAGTTATGCAAAAAATGAATATTTATTTAGATGCTATGGAAAGTAAAGTTCATTTTTTTTTACATTCGATTTTTTCGACCATCGAGATATTTCGATATATTTTCATGTGCTTTGCATGCACTGTCTTTTTTAAGAAAGGAATTTTGCTTATTTTAATCCATTTTGGTATTATAATAAGCAAAATTGGATTAAAATAATAAGCGTTGCAGCTTTTTTTAATACCTTATAATTTTCTGTGATACTTTCTTATGCAAATACGCTCTCTAAATCTGAATTATAGAGAAAGGTAAGCTACTAAATTAAATTAGTAAGAATTTTCACTTTAGTCACTTTTCACTAAAACTTTAGTAAAAAAATTGAAAACTACTAAATCAATTAGTAATATTTTACTAAAAATTAGTAAAAATTCTTACTAATGTAAATTTGTAGCTCGTCACTTTTCACTAATTCAAATTTAGAGAGCGAATTAGTTAAAAATGTTAGTAAAATTTTAGCTGAATTTTTGCTTTAGTAGTTAGTAAAAAATAACTAATTTGAAATGTAACTAATAATTGAATAAAACAATAATAAAAAAAACTAATTATTTATAAAGAGTGACTAATAATTAAATAACTAAATTTGACACGATCTGAAGAAAGGTACCTTAGAACCAAATCATTTTAAGGTTATGTTTGTGTTAGTTTTTTCTTAATTGAAAATTTCTTTTTTATTGCAAATTAAAATCAGTGTTTATGAAATATTTTAGTTGTAATGAAGACTCAAACATTTATATTGACCTTTTTTTGTATTTTATTTTCAAAAATTGCAAACATAACCTTTAATTTTTAGCTTCTAAGGTCCCTTTCTTCAGAACGCGTCACGCAAATATATAAATTAGTTAACAATAACTAAAAAAAATCTTAGTTGAATTTTTGCTTCAGCTAGTAGAAAATAATTAATTATTAATATAAAAACTAATTATTAGTAAAAAGTAATTAATTATTTTAAAAAATAAACTAATTTAACTTATCAAAAAAAAAAATTTTAATAAATCCAATTAGTTAAAATTAAAAATAATAAGTGATGTCCACTTTTTTCTCTTTACTATATATATACAAAAGGTATCAGTGAAAAAGTATATATATAAGAATAATTATAAACGAAGAAGAAGGAGTCGCGTTGAAAAGCGTTTTAAGAGCAGATGCTGCAGTGTGTTGGCACAGTGTTAAATATTCAGGTGGTTGGCTTAATTGCGGGAAAAAAGGCGACAAAATCAGTTCTTTCTCGAACACCGACGACTCGGATCTACAAAAGAAAAAAAAAAAAAAAAAAAAACTCAGCTCGTTAAATCCCCCCCATTAGATTCGAATGTCCGAAACGTGCCTCGTATTCGTTATTAAAATTTATACAGAAACCCTTATATTGCCGTTGAGTAGGTATATATATATATATAAAAGAAATAAATATGTTCGTTTTTTGTCAATGTGCCACATTAATATATTTACCGTGAGTAATTAACTTAATGAAAATTTATATTTTCTTATATTCCATCTGTTTTTTTTTTTAAACATTTTTACATCAAATTATTTTCCTCATTGCACTTACTATTTAGTAAAAATTTTTGTAATTAAAAATTTATTTTTATAATTCTAGTGAGGTGAAAAAAAATTTTTGTAGAAAAAAAAATTTCTGAATTAAATTTTATTTGTGCGAGTGTTTAGAAAAAAAAAAATGGAAACCGATTTTTTTTTTGTTGAATGAAAATAATAAAAATATAGTTGTGATTGTGGTCAAAAAAGGGACATACACTGAAATGACTCTCGTGGGACTTTAGCGGTAACTATTTTGACAGTTTGAAAAATTGTTTGCCAAATTGTTATTCGATTATGCGCCGATTCTCACACATATTTTCTGTTACCGCCTTTTTTTTTTTTTGGTTTTCTAGTTTTCTATATAATTCTATAAAAACATGCGCGGCATCTTGGTTTCGAACACACGTCCCCAGAGAAATTTTGTTATAGTCTCACAGTGAGAATCTTTTTCAAAATGGAAAAAGAATTTTTTTCTTCAATTTGAATTTTTATTTCTATAGAATATGATTCCATATTTTCCTGGCAAATTATTTTAATTTTTCTTCAGTATTTAAATTTATTTATTTAAAAAATTCAATGAAACAAAAAAATTTCATTATTTCTATTATAAAAAGTGTCATACCAAAACGTAATGCGTAACGCTTTATTGTAAAAAAAAAAATTTTTTTTTGCCTAGCAACGATTGCTAAGGACGTTTTTTTGCGTAGCAACGGTTTCTAAGAATATTTTTTCACCTAGCAACGGTTGCTAAGTACATTTTTGCCTAGTAACGATTGCTAAGGATATCTTTTGCCTAGCAACGGTTGCTACGAATATTTTTTTTACCTAGAAACGGTTGCTAAGGATATTTTTTTGTCTAGCAACGGTTACTAAGGACATTTTTTTGCCTAGCAACGGTTGCTAAGTACATTTTTGCCTAGTAACGGTTGCTAAGGATATCTTTTGCCTAGCAACGATTACTAAGGACATTTTTTTGCCTAGCAACGGTTGCTAAGTACATTTTTGCCTAGTAACGGTTGCTAAGGATATTTTTTGCTTAGCAACGGTTGCTACGAACATTTTTTTTGCCTAGTAACGGTTGCTAAGGATATTTATTTTGTCTAGCAACGGTTGCTAAGTACATTTTTGCCTAGTAACGGTTGCTAAGAACATTTTTTTACCTAGCAACGGTTGCTAAGTACATTTTTTGCCTAGTAACAGTTGCTAAGGATATTTTTTGCTTAGCAACGGTTGCTACGAACATTTTTTTTGCCTAGTAACGGTTGCTAAGTACATTTTTTGCCTAGTAATGGTTGCTAAGGATATTTTTTGCTTAGCAACGGTTGCTACGAACATTTTTTTTACCTAGAAACGGTTGCTATGGATATTTTTTTGCCTAGCAACGGTTACTATGAACTTTTTTTGCCTAGCAACTGTTGCTAAGAACATTTTTTCACCTAGCAACGGTTGCTAAGTACATTTTTTGCCTAGTAACGGTTGCTAAGGATATTTTTTTTGCCTATCAACGGTTGCTAAGAATATTTTTTGCCTAGCAAAGGTTGCTTATGATTTTTTGGTTTATTAATACAAAATAATGTAATGATTAAAAAAACAATAATCAGCGCCCGAAGGTCTCGTTTAAAGAAATTTTGTTTTAATATAGAAATAAATATAAATATGAAAATGATTCGACAACTTGGTGCATATAGAGAACTATATGTAACCTAAATCATGGAATATATATATATATATATTGTACACGAAAAGGGGACTTTCTGTGCCATTACTCAAAGATGGCACCGGAGTCCGGTAGCGGCCTAATCTCAGCACATGAGACCTTAATGGGATTTTAAGGCGTCAGGACCACCTGCGTACTTTCCCGTGGCCGAACCTCGTTTGTCTTTCTCTTCCACGATCTGGACAAGTCTTACTTTCTTATATTGTTATACTCACAACCAAAAAGACAAATCAACTTTCCAGATTACTTCAAAATCACCTTCTCTCTTTATGAAAATTAATTTCAATTTTCAAATTTTGAAAATATAAATAATTCCCCCCCTTCAAAAAAACTAAATTAAAATACAAATAAAGTAAAAAATTTTTTTGACGGCAGAAAAAGATAAAATAAATGTTTAATTTCAATTCACAATTGTTCTTAAATCTTTCCATTTTAAATTACAGGGTTGGAGTGGGTCGAGCCCATTTCGAGAAACAGCCTCCGAGCAATCTAAGGAAGAGTAACTTTTTCCACTTTGTTATTGCTCTCTACGATCGAGGGGGACAGCCGATTGAAATCGAAAGGACGGCTTTCATTGGATTCGTCGAGAAGGACCAGGTAAAGTTTATTCTCTCAAAAAAAAGAAAGAAAGAAAGAAAAAAAGCAATTACAAATATTAGAAAAATTAAAAGATTACCTCAAAAATTTTTTTTTTCTAATAAAAATATGAAGAAATTAATTTTTTCATTTTGTATATGTGTTGGAAAATATTTTTAAGGCTCATGATAACGTAATATACAAAAGAGGAATATATATATATATATATATATATTGGGGGAGAAAAAAGTGATAGGACCTTTATATAGCCCTCGGGTAAATATATATAGAGCCCTATATTGGTTATCTCGATAATTGCCATTTTCGCATCCAAGTATGACGTCAAATATTAAACAACTGACTATACATCTCGTTAAATCGCTGATTTCACAATATGTACAAGCGCGTTGTTGTAACGATTAGATGGACGCTCGAAAATCCATTGATCATGAGATGAATATCAACTCGATACAATATATACGTTTGTCATCTGTTATTTGAAATTTCCTTCTGATATGCAAATTATTTGCTATTTTTTCTGTTATAATTGTTATATTATTAATTAGTTATTTTTTTTTGCAATTGTTTATTTTAAAAATAATTTTAAGCTCTTTTTGTCAAATTGCATATGAAAAAAAAAAATTAAATATTTGGACCTGATTAGGGCCGTATTTTGATATAAATATATATAAGAAATCCATGTCCGAACCATAACGAGGGAGAAAACCATACCTATAATAAATCTCGATGCCATAAATCATGACCTAATTCGACAAACTGGAATTCATGAAAAATCGAGTTTTTCAAAAGAAGAAAGCTACAATTTATTGGTTATAAAAAATATTAGACGATTACTTTCTCATGTTTCTTTAATTTTATTCAAAAAAAAAAAAAGAAAAAAAAATTATATGTAGGTATTCTAATTCATTTTTATATAATTTAATGCAAAATAATTAAAAAGGAAGGAGAAAAAATTATTTGTTTTTGCAATTCCCATTTCCCTTTTTTTCAATTTCCATTTCCACTTTTTCTAATTTCCACTTCCACTTATATTTCCACTTTTTCCAGTTTCCACCCCCCACTTCTGCTTCCACTTTTTCCAATTTCCACTTCCATTTTTTCCTACATCCATTTCCACTTTCATTTTCACTTCCACTTTTTCCTAATTCCATTCCCACTTTCATTTTCACTTCCAATTTTTCTAATTTCTACTTCCACTTATATTTCCACTTTTTCCAGTTTCCACTCCCACTTCTGCTTCCACTCTTTCCAATTTCCACTTCCATTTTTTCCTACATCCATTTCCACTTTCATTTTCATTTCCACTTTTTCCTAATTCCATTCCTACTTTCATTTTCACTTCCAATTTTTCTAATTTCTATTTCTTTTTTAACTTTTACCAATTAGAAAAAATGTGGGAGTGGAAATTAGAAAAAGTGGAAGTAGGAGTGGAAATGGAAGTGGAAATTAGGAAAAAGTGAAAGTGGAAATGGAAGTAGGAATTAGAAAAAGTAGGAGAGGAAATTGAAAAAAGTGTAAGTGAAAATGGAAGGATGAATGGAAATTAAAATAAGTGGAAGTGGAAATGGAAGTAGGAATTAGAAAAAGTAGGAGAGGAAATTGGAAAAAGTGTAAGTGAAAATAGAAGGATGAATGGAAATTGAAATAAGTGGAAGTGGAAATGGAAGTAGGAATTAGAAAAAAGTAGGAGAGGAAATTGGAAAAAGTGTAAGTAAAAATGGAAGGATGAATGGAAATTGGAATAAGTGGAAGTGGAAATGGAAGTAGGAATTAGAAAAAGTAGGAGAGGAAATTAGAAAAAGTGTAAGTGAAAATGGAAGGATGAATGGAAATTAGAATAAGTGGAAGTGGAAATGGAAGTAGGAATTAGAAAAAGTAGTAGATGAAATTGGAAAAAGTGTAAGTGAAAAGGGAAGGATGAATGGAAATTGGAATAAGTGGAAGTGGAAATGGAAGTAGGAATTAGAAAAAGTGCGGGAGAGGAAATAGGAAAATATGGAAATGGAAGTGGGAATTAGAAAAAGTGAAAGAGGAAATAGGAAATGGATTTTCGTAATCGCCCCCTGTGAAATATTCGCAATATTGTGGAAAACAAAATTTTCCATTTAATAGAAAAGAGAAATAAATATTTAAATAAATAACCAAATAAGAAAATAAATAAATCACGTAAATGTTATTGGCTTTTCAGATAACATACAAAATTCTTATTTGGAAAAACGTGTTAGTTAAATTTGCAAAAAAAAAAAAAAAAATGCACTTATTTCGTGGTTACAAATAGATCTCAAAAGCAAGTTTCGCAGTTTACAGCATCAACGACAGCAGAGAGAGAGAAAGAGAGAGAGAGAGTGAGAGATAGAGATGAAGAGAATCAAGCCAATTACTCCGAAATTTCTGCACTCATGATTTCACGAAATAGTCACCTGGTTGCTCAGGCATGTGCAATTTAACGCACTGGTCAACCTACTTAACTAATTACACATGACCACGTGCTAGTGTTTACATTGGCTTTGTAAATGTCTATCTCTCTCTCTCTCTCTCTCGCTCCTATATGTACGTGTCTCCTCTCTCTGGGATGTCTTCTATTCCTCTCACTCTCACTCTCTTACACGCGTATATAATTCACGTTGGTGGACAGTTGCATCGCGTGGTCTCCCTATTAATTAGGGTCATGCACCACGGACATACATCAACCCCTGAGTAGAAGCGACTCACGACCATATACCTCTAGCAATGTTCCCTCAGCCTCACACACCAACATAAACCCAACCCCGTAGAGGAATTTACATATTTTCACGTCACTCTATTATTTAAGATATGAACTAACATACTCATCAGGTTTTGAAAAGGTTCCACTTTATCAAAATGCTGTCAACATTTTATGGACCTTTCAACTAAAACTCCATATATAACTGCCAATTTTTCATTGAATTTACTCTATTTTTTTTTACTTATTTTTTGGTATTTTCCCTTTTTTATTATATTCTGAATATTTGAAAAATTTGATTTGCTTCTAAATATTATAATTACATCAACTAATAATAATTATAATAGTAAAAATATTAATTATTAAATGTTTCTGACAAGGACAATTTTTAGATTTTGAAATTTCTTATTAACTAATCTGTAGATGCAGTATAGTTTTTATATAGTTTCTGTATAGTTTTTACAGAGTTTCTATATAGTTTCTATACAGAGTGATTTTTATGTTCCGGACCCTCTAAAAAATGTATTTAATCTCATTATTTTCATTTTTTACATAAAAACTGAAATATATAGGCAGTACAGTTTCCATATAGTTTCTATATAGTTTTTTAATCTACTTTGTATATAAATTATGTATAGTTTCTACACAGTTTCTGTATAATTAAGTATCTAGAAACTTAATAGGAAATAATTTCTAGATGCAGTATAGTTACTATCTAGTTTCTAAATAGTTTCTGTATAGTATCTATATAGTTTATGTGTAATTCAGTAGCTAGGAACCTAATAGGAAGTAATCTATAGAGGCAGTATAATTTCTATATAGTTTCTATACAGTTTTTATATAGTTTCCATATAGTTTCTGTATAGTTTTTTGTATAGTTTCTGTGTAGTTTTTTATATTTTTCTATTTAAATTATAGAGTTTCTACACAGTTTCTGTATAATTAAGTATCTAGGAACTTATTATATGTCTATAGATGCATTATAGTTACTGTCTAGTTTCTATATAGTTTCTATAAAGGGTGATTTTTATGTTCCGGACCCTCTAAAAAATGTATTTAATCTCATTATTTTCATTTTTTACACAAAAAAGTGAAATATATAGGCAGTACAGTTTCCATATAGTTTCTATATAGTTTTTTAATCTACTTTGTATATAAATTATGTATAGTTTCTACACAGTTTCTGTATAATTAAGTATCTAGGAACTTAATAGGAAATAATTTCTAGATGCAGTATAGTTACTATCTAGTTTCTAAATAGTTTCTGTATAGTATCTATATAATTTATGTGTAATTCAGTAGCTAGGAACATAATAGGAAGTAATCTATAGAAGCAGTATAATCTCTATATAGTTTCTATATACATAGTTTCTATACAGTTTTTATATAATTTCCATATAGTTTCTGTATAGTTTTTTGTATAGTTTCTGTGTAGTTTTTTATATTGTTCTATATAAATTATAGAGTTTCTACACAGTTTCTGTATAATTAAGTATCTAGGAACTTATTATATGTCTATAGATGCATTATAGTTACTATCTAGTTTCTATATAGTTTCTGTATAATTAAGTATCAAGGAACTTAATAGGAAGTAATATTCAGAGGCAGTATAATTTCTGTATAATTTCTGTATATAGTTTATAGTTTATATATTTAATCGTTTATATAGTTTCTACATAGTTTCAACATAGTTTCTGCATAGTTTCTTCATATTTACAACACAAGTTCGGTATAATTAAGTATCAAGAAACTTGATAGGAAATTATCTATAGATGCAGTACAGTTTCTATATAGTTTCTACATAGTTTTCACATAGTTTCTACATAATTTCTACACAGTTTCTACATAGTTTCTACATAGTTTCTACATAGTTTCTGTATAATTAAGCCTCTTAGAACTTGTTAGTCCTAGCGTTACATTTCCAGCTAGTTTCGGTACATACTTCAAGAACTTATTAAAAAGTCATTAAAAAAATCTTTTTTTCGTCACTCCTCATATACTCTAAAAGTAAAAAAAAAAAAATGATAATTGAAAAATAAAGAAAAAAGTGGGCTTTCTTTTACGCTGTTGCGGTTGATTGTTAAAAATGCATTACTGACGATGCGCGGCAGATGGTGTGATGCACGCATGACTCGTCAACAGGGTTTGATAATAATTATGCATCACGAACCACGCGATATAAATTGTAATGGCACACACAACTCTTATGGGGCACACATCAAGAAATTAATAATTAGTGCGGGAGATATAAAAAAAAAAAGTGAGACAGATAGATATATCATGGTATCGTATTTCTCGGGTGCAATTTTAATTAAACAAAAAGGAATCGCGAGTCGTATATACATATACAAAAATGGTGACCTGTTTTCTGATAATATGCATGTTATATACCATGATCAATGATAACAATGCACGAAAATGCATATATATATTAGTATCATGTTTTTCTTTCCCTCAATAATTATATAATTGAATCAATTTTTTTTTCTCATATACAAATTTTTGTTATTAATTTTTTTTAAAATTCTATTTCTGTTACAGGAAAGTGAGGGTCAAAAAACAAATAATGGAATTCAATATCGTCTTCAACTTCTTTATGCAAATGGTAAGTAATAATAATTTATTTGGTTTTTAAAATTTTTTAAATTTGTCAAATTTTTGAATTACAAATCTACAATAAATTGATTAGGGGCAGTAATAAAATATTTTTCTTTGGAAGAAAAGAGAGTTGATCAATCAAACTGAATCTCGACAATTCAATGAAAAATCATTTTATAAAGTAATTCTTTTAGATAAATCAGTCTCAAAAGGACAAAAACCATCACAAGTGCTATTACATGAGTTTAAATTTTCATTAATGTTGAAGATTGAAAAAAAGGTCATGATTTTGAAATAAGTGCACAATTTTTTATTGTAAATGTGTGTGTGTGTGTGTGAGCCATATATGTTTTCTTCCCACATGGATCATAAAATACGCTCGGTTTTCTTATTTAGTTCCTTCTCTCTCTCTCCCTCTCTCACTCACTCTCTCTCTCTCTCTCTTTTGCTCTCCATTGCGCGAATCCCTTTTTATTCATTCGCTTTGAGTTCCGATCGATCAATGCGAGATTTTTGTCGCTGGAAACTTTCTGAAGGGCCGTCCTACCATCTTGGGATACGAAAACGTGTTGCCAACATTGCGAACAAGAAATAACTAACTGTTGCAAAAGTCAGAAAAACTGACGCACATCGCTTTTAAGAATCGCAACTGGGCCTCACGACTTTCCCGCTCTTTTTTTCTTTTTCTTCTACCAAAAAACGATAATTTCTTTTGAATTTTGAAAACCATAAAAATTGTTACCCTGATAATTTTTCAAATATTTCAATATTAGGTCTTGTATTTTCATTTTTAAAAAAAATTTAAAAATTAGATAAGCAAAAATGTAAATATTTATTTCAAATTAAAAATAAGTTTATTGTATTATGTATATTTATTAATACGAGGGGAAAAATTCAAAAAGAAAAAAATGGTGTGACGAATAAAAAACTCCTTTTTCATCTTTCTATATAAATAAAGTATACATATAGAGGATTATTTGGACATTTTATAGCGTAAAGACAAATTGCAAACGATAAGGAGTTTACTCTGTTGCGTTGAAATACAGGTGTCCACGTCATCACATCTCTTCGATCTACCGACGGGGTAATAAATCTATAATTAAATAATAAATAAGGAGTGATGCCCATCCAACAGTCGTCACGAGCTCGTCCAAATCAGGATCTACTTCTTTTTGTCATCTTCTTCAGGCTTCCTTCTCTTCTTCTCTTTTCTTCTTTTGCCCTCACTCTTTTCTCTCGTTTTCTTCATCCCATGGCTGCTCCCTCTCTCTCTCTCTCTCTCTCTCTCTACCCTTTTTAAACAATTCAATAAAAGATGGACCGAAATGTTTTTTGCCCTCGCACAAAAAAAGAGAAAAAGAACGAAAAAGAAATTATTGCACAAAAATTCGAATTCAAACTATTTTAATTGTATCACAAAAAAGAGACGAGACAATAAATATATATTCATTTACATTTTTATATTTATTTATTATTATATTAAATATTAATTTCTTATATATTCCTTATATTGTCGATTGTGCAATATTAAAAATTGTTGATGTTCAGTGATTCTGACAAAATGATGTAGATGACTAATGAAATGGGTAGTTTTTTTATACAACATGAATTGTTCAGTGAAGATAGTGTAGCCGCAAAAGTAACTTCCGGTAAGCCGCGAAGGTTTCTCGAGGTAATTTGTGAGCTAGTTTCGGGTGGACTATCATAATCCATGGTATGAACGTTATGCGGTGTAAGTAAGTACCTCAGCCGGCTGTGTAGGGCCAACAGAGTCTAGAAGTCTTATGTTGGGATTACACTAGATTATGCTGGACGTGCAAGACAAAAGCTATATACGAGGGCATCTGTTACCTGAAGGACGTCAACTAAATAAACACCTGAAAACAGCGTTTATCTTATCGCAAAATGTCCTTCTTTTAGACTGATTATTTCTTAATTACATAAAAAATAAATTTCTTTTCTTGATAATTATGTCTGACTAAAATTTGCTTTTATTACTTATTAGAAAATTTACATTAATAACTAATATTACTGTATTCTACTGTACTTTACTGTACATTACTCTAATGTACTATACTGTACTATACTGTACTTTACTGTACTATACTGTACTTTACTGTACTTTACTGTACTTTACTGTACTTTACTGTACTTTACTGTACTTTACTGTACTTTACTGTACTTTACTGTACTTTACTGTACTTTACTGTACTTTACTGTACTTTACTGTACTTTACTGTACTTTACTGTACTTTACTGTACTTTACTGTACTTTACTGTACTTTACTGTACTTTACTGTACTTTACTGTACTTTACTGTACTTTACTGTACTTTACTGTACTTTACTGTACTTTACTGTACTTTACTGTACTTTACTGTACTTTAGTGTAATGCACTCTACTGTACCTTACATTATTTTACTATACTATACTGTATTTAACTGTACTTTAATGTACTCTACTGTACCTTACATTACTTTACTGTACTTTACTAAAATGTACTCTACTGTACCTTAAATTATTTTACTATACTGTACTGTACTTTACTGTACTTTGCTGTACATTGCTGAACATTACTGTAATGTACTCTGCTGTATCTTACATCATTTTACTGTACTTTGCTGCGCTTTACTGTACTTTAGGTACTTTACTATACTATACGGTACTTTACTGTACTCTTAGATACTTTACTATACTATACTGTATTTAACTGTACTTTAATGTACTCTACTGTACCTTACATTACTTTACTATACTATACTGTATTTAACTGTACTTTAATGTACTCTACTGTACCTTACATTACTTTACTATACTATACTGTATTTAACTGTACTTTAATGTACTATACTGTACCTTACATTACTTTACTATACTGTATTTAACTGTACTTTAATTTACTCTAATGTACCTTAAATTATTTTACTATACTGTACTGTACTATACGTTACTGACTTTACTGTACTTAACTGTAAAGTACTCTACTGTACCTTACATTATTTTACTATACTGTACTGTACTTTACTATACGTTACTGACTTTACTGTACTTTACTGTACTTTGCTGTACTTTACTATACATTACTGTAATGTACTGTACTTTACATTACTTTACTGTAATGTACTCTACTGTACCTTACATTACTTTACTGTACATTACTGTACTTTACTGTACTTTAGGTACTGTACTATACTTTACGGTACTTTACTGTACTCTAAGGTACTTTACTATACTATTCTGTACTTTACTATACTTCACGTAAAAAAATCTTTACCTGTAATAGCAATAAGTTTCTCTGGAACAGCGATATATTTCCCTAGAATAGCAAAAACTTGTAAATTTTAAGTTTTTTTTAATGGTTAATACCATTAAGTTATTATTCTATTTGAAAACAATTAAAATTATAGCGAAAGGAAGAAAGAAATTAGCAAAAGAAATTGATAACACAAATTTTTTGTTGCAGGTGTCAGACAAGAACAGGATATCTTCGTGAGGCTGATAGATTCTGTAACAAAACAGGTAAGAATCAACTTTTAATTATTCTCTATTATTTATTATTTTATCTACAAACAAAAAAAGCGATAAATTCTGAAGAATTATGACTCTCTCTCTCTCTCTCTCTCTCTATACAGAAATCTAATCTTAAACCACAAAAAGGGGATGAATATTCTCCTATTTTTGTTTACAATTATGTTTTTGAAATTGTAAGCCTCCATACTCTCCACCACCAGCACCATTATACCACTCAGCTCAAGGGTAACTTCCGGTTGAGCGCGCACTGAGAACAAATCGCGCTTATGGTTGGTGTCGCGCATGCTCGCTAAAGTGGCCTTATCGTCGTTCGTACAAGCACTTAATTTTCCGGGGGGTTGATTTCAAACCCCCAGGAATACCAGCAATGCGCGGCTGTAGCGTCCCGTTATCTGCGCCACGTGGCGAACCCTCAATGTATACGTATACAGGAACCACGTGTTCACCACCCATCCTTCCTCATGTCCCGTACTCAATTCAAAAGGATATGGAGTGAGAGAGAGAGAGAGAGAGGGAGAAAGAGAACGGGGGGGAGAGGAGATCCTGACGCGACGATAGCACCCTAAGAAGGATCATAACCTTCGAGCAAACGCAAATACGCCGACAGATTACGAGTTTGGATAAGGACTTTATGTCTAGCAAAGGGTGGTTTTTTCAGTCCTCTCACTCTCTCTCTCATTTTACTGTGCGGCAACTTCACATTCGCACCTACTATAATCATTTTCATACAAAGACGTTTCTCTATATATACATACAGTTATATTATATAACTAAGTCACATTTCCATAAAACCTTAGAATTATCTTTGTTTTGATACATAAAGCCCTACCAAATATTACAGGTTTTTTTTTTAAAGGGATTATGCTTCCCTTTATTTAATTGTAGAAAATTATTTTCAGCTAAAAAAATTGTAGCGGATTTCTTTTTTAAAATTAATTTTTTCGTACTGCTCTCTAAATCTGAATCAGCGAAATCCCACTGATTCTCAGTGAATAGTCACTGATTGAAATAGCTATAAGTATACCACTGGGAATCAGTGGAATTTCACTGTTTCAATCAGCGAGGAATTATTTCACTGATTTAAACAGTGAAAGTTCGCTGATCTAATTAGTAGTTTTTCACTGATTTTTCAGTGAATTAAATATTTCTTAGTTTTTTCTGTGTCAAAAGATAAAATATTAGTTTAATGAAAAATATTATATTTATTGAAACACGTACATCAATTAGGAAAACTGAACATTATTTAGTAATTATTCGTAAATTAATATTAGGAAAACGTAAGTTTAAAACGTAGAATAAAAACACAAAATTATAAAAAATGAAACATCCATTGAAAATAAATAGAAAACACATTAATCGAAGTTTCAATGACTTGTTTGATAAACTATAAAACTAATTTGACGATTCTTCGTTGATAACGTTGCACACATTGATGTGCATCGATGTAACTACACTGCGAGTTCCCGTGTGAAGATCATAAACATAATTTTCAATGAAATTATAGAAAATTTCAAATTTTAGAAGGTTTGTGTAAAAAGATTTAACTAAAATCTTTTTACACAAACCTTCTAAAATTTGAAATATTTCCTCTGGAATATTATTGTCCCTTAACTTGGTGTACAATTCTAAGGGCAATGTATAGATATATTCGATAAATCCATCTTATTGAAATTATTGCTGATTCCGAGTAAAAGTGTAATCTACAAAATACAAAGCAGAAGTAATTAAAGGGAAAATCAATTGTCGGTATAGTTAAAATTATGCGCAAAAATAGTGATAAATATTAATATCGCATGAAAAATATAAGTGAGGTTATGTTTCGTGTCAAACGAAAACGAATTAGTTTTCAAATGATAATTTGAACAATTTATGAATTTTATATAATCGAAACCATCTATAAAACAAAGAAAATTTAATTAATTAATTATAATCATTACGTATTTTGTTAAATTTATTATAAAATAGTTAAAAATAACACTGTATAAACCAAAGTAATCTTTGATCAAATTTTGATATAAATTCAACTACTGTATATGAACTTATGATCCAGAAGGTAAATAATAGTGTATAATATGTACTTACTAAGTATTTAAACAATTTTTTCGCTTAAAAAACGCAAATGTTGATATAACTTTTAACCTAACTTGCCCAGATTTCTCTTGCACCAAATGACGCTCTGAAATTTACTGCGTCGGCGCAGAAGCAACTTCAGTAAAGTCACTGTTTCGTCAGTGATAGTCGCTGATTCTCAGTGAAAATCTTTGTCACTGAGAAAATCAGCGAAATTTTCACTGATTCAGATTTAGAGAGTGGCACGATACACCAGTACTCCGCCAGTATAGTGATTGCATTAGATTTATAATAAATAAATATCGAATAAAAATAAAATTCAATTTAGATAACAAGTTTATGGATATGATTTTTTTTTAATATTAAAGTAATGATGGTTGAAGAACAAAATATATATATAAGCGATCGTCGCGTGACAAGTACTTGTTTAAAATAGTAGACGTTACCTACTTTCTGAAATTATTTTGTATCGCGTCGTGAACTCTACAATGGCCTATAGGTAAGTGCCTATAGGTAAGCGCGACCGTTTTAGCAAGATTAAATCATCTTGGGGTTGGTTTGTAACGGAGCTAGGTTACAAAAGAAGGGTGGGAGGGAGAGAGAGAGAGGGAGGGTAGGAGGAGGAAGAGACGATGTTAGTTTTAGCTGATTAAATTACTAAGCCGTGGTAGCTGTGCACAGGCAGAGACGACGGGTCGACGATTATTCGCGTTCCATTCCTTTTATTAATCGGCGTCAACTCAAATTGGATTCGTTTTCCTCTCAAATCTACACTTATATAGATATACATATATACAAAATGTCGAATTAGGCAATTAAATTTTCGATACACGAAACATATAATTTTTACTTGACTGTACTTTACTGTATTTTACTCTACTTTACTTTATGTTACTCTACTTTACTGTACTTTAATGTACTATACTGTACTTTACTATTATTTACAATACTAAACTGTACTTTAGTTATTCTACATTACTCTACTTTACTGTACTCTACTTTACTGTACTCTACTATACTTTACTATAATTTACAATACATTACTCTACTTTATAGTATATTAATGTACTATACTGTACTGTACTGTATTTTACTCTACATTACTGTACTTTACCATTATTTACAATACTGTACTTTACTTCATTCTACATTACTCTACTTTACTGTACTCTATTGTACTCTACTGTAATTTACACTACATTACTCTGCTTTACTCTACATTAATGTATCGTACTGTACTTAACTGTATTTTACTCTACATTACTGTACTTCACTATTATTTAAAAAACTAAACTGTACTTTTCTTCAATCTACTGCGCTTTATTTTACTCTACTCTATTGTACTCTACTGTAATTTACACTACATTACTCTACTTTACTCTACATTAATGTATCGTACTGTACTTAACTGTATTTTACTCTATATTACTGTACTTTACTATTATTTACCAAACTAAACTGTACTTTTCTTCATTCTACTGTGCTTTATTTTACTCTACTTTATTGTACTTTAGTGTACTCTACTGTACCTTACTTTATTCTACTTTACAGTACTTTTCTATTATTTACAGAAGTATACAATACTTTACTTTACTTTATTTTACTTTACTGGACATAACTGTACTTTAATTTATTCTGCTTTACTTTATTTTACTCTACTATACTTTACATTACTCTATTATTATTTACAGTACTGTATTGTACTTTATACTACTTTACTCTACTTTACTGTACATTAATGTACTTTACTATAATTTACAGTACTATACTCTACTTTATTATACTTTACTGTAATTTACTTTATTGTATTCTATTGTACTTTACTGTTACTGACAGTACTATTCTGTATTTTACTGGATCGTACTGTACTCTTCTATACTGCACTTTAGTGTATTATACTATACTTTCTTGTATTTTACACTTTACTTTACTATTCTACACTGTTATTTACTTCACAGTACTGGGCCCTATTGTATTCTACTTTTAGTTTTACTGTATTTTACAGTTCTATACTATACTTTACTGTATTCTACTGTACTTTACTGTTCTTTATTTTACTTTACTGTATTTTATTGTTCTTTGCTGTACTTTACTGTACTTTACTGTACTTTACTGTACTTTACTGTACTTTACTGTACTTTACTGTACTTTACTGTACTTTACTGTACTTTACTGTACTTTACTGTACTTTACTGTACTTTACTGTACTTTACTGTACTTTACTGTACTTTACTGTACTTTACTGTACTTTACTGTACTATACTGTACTTTACTGTAATACATTGTACTTTACATTACTGTTCTGTACTGTACTGTTCTATACTTTTCTGTACAGTAAACTACAATAATGTAGAGTAGAATACAATAACGTACAGTTTAGTACAGTACAATAAAGTATAGTAAATTACACTATAGTACAGTAAATGAGAGAACAGTAAATAATAATAATAATAATAATAATAATAATAATATTAATAAAAATAATAATAATCAATATTATTTTACTGTTATCTTATTTATTCCGCTATTGTGTAATTTACTAAACATTATTGTACTGTACTATACTGTACGTTTTTGTATTCTACTGTACATTATTGTTCTCTACTGTACATTACTGTACGTGTACTCTACAATTCTTTCTTTTACCAAACTGTACAATAACATACAAATTTGATAGAAAAAAAATCTCCTATTAAAACTTAATTGTCCAAATAATTATAATACGATTCAATTTTTTTATTCAATAAGTAACAGTAACGCGTTACTATTATTAGGAAAGTAACGCAACGTAAAGAATATATATTTATATATAAGCATTTCTTTATTATGGCATTGTTCTCGAAAAATCGCAAGTGTCATCGGGTGTATCGTGTGCATAGTGTGATATAAACCACAAAAAGTCGATATAAATTTGTATT